TAGACTGTAAGTTACCTGTCAAGAAGTGACATTGAATAAAGGTCTTTTTCAAGGGCCTGCAAAGCAAGATATCCCTTAGCTTTCATTTCGCTGGGAGAGAGAAAAGACAATTTATTATTTTTGTAAGTAAATAAAAGTTAGGCTATGAATTTCAAAAGTTTTTGAGTAAAAAATAACTGCAACCTGTTTCCTGGAATTTGATACATATTTGACAGGTCTTCTAGAATCTTGCCGAAGGCATCATAGTTCTTCATCCTAAAAAAAATGAAATAATGACTATCACTAGTAAATGAGATGGAACATAACTCTTTTATACGCAACTTAATAGAAAAGGCACCATTTCAGAGTGACAGTGGCCCCCTCCTCAGATCAAGTAGCAGTACTGATTTAAATTTTCTTAGAAGATACCAGAAAATGTGAACCTTTGGTTTTGTTGCAAGCACTGTAATTATAGCTGAAACTGGCACTGAAGTAGGCACTACTGAAAGCAATAATTGTACATGAAACACAAATATGACAGCTCATCAGCTGCAAAACATTTTTCCTGATGTTCCAATAAAGCTAATCATGTAGTACTACCTCCCTAAGACCTTGCATGCATACATTGATCTTAAAATATCAAAATTGTATTAATGCTGCAATTCACAGCACCATGTGAGAGAGACAGACCTTAAATATAACTGATAGATACATCAATCAAAAAAAAGAAAAAAAAAAAGGGACAAATGCCTTGGTTTGTAAATGAATGGTTCAGACTGCTCAAACCCCAGAACTGCTGTGGATTTCGACTTGGTGAGGCAGCGTGGAGCATTGTTCAGACTAACCCACCTGTGCTTAAGTAGATTTTATGTGAGTTTTATAAACCTTACTAGACTCTGGTGTGCAGTCACACAGACAGCTCTGTGACTGCAGTGTGGAAGATGTGACCCATCTTTCCTATACAGATGTGGCAGTAGTGTGGATCAGCAGAGAGAAAATAAGCCTGCCTGAACTTTTACACTGGAACAAACTCTTTCAAACCTGGAACCTAAACAAGTCACTCAGCTCTTCTCTGTCTCTTTCCAGCTGGACTAGTGTGGGAGCAGGGAAAAAAGAGGGAAGCAGGCATGTGTGGTACAGAAACAGACACAGTACTAGCCTATGCATTAGCTGGCTGGTTCTTAAAATCTTAATTTTATAGTTACTTTGAGACTGATGGGAAACATTACACATATAAGAAACTGCCTTACAACCAAATAAAATACTACACCAAGAGGTGTAGAAGGGATACCTGTGGTTTGTAACAAATCTTAACAAAGCCAGGAAGGCAGAAAAGCAGCACCCACAGTACCAATGGTACCTATATACCAGTGATCAAGAGCCAAACTGCTGGCATTAACATCACTGGAAGTCAAAAACCTAGGAAAATGTAAGTTCAAGTTTTAAGTCATAGCTGTTTACACTCATAGAGCTAATATAACTTCATTTCTGAGGAAAAAAGGGGGCTGAAAAAACTGATGATGAATAATACAAAAGATTGAACACTCTCCTGGTTTGAGAGGAAGTGAGTGGTATGCTGTGGTCAAACCAATAGATGCTCAGATTTGAATACTGGCACCTGATGTGGCCACTGAGGACATGGATACGCCTCTGAGAACACAGGGGGTTAAAAGCAGAGAACTCCCAGGAAAACCTTCTCTCTCATAGAAGCACTGACATTGTGCCAGCGTCAAACCGTGACAGGTTCCATCCGTGAAAGAGGTCAGAGCTCCCCTGCCTGGCTGCGGGCTGGGTGGGGAAGGGGAAGCCATGCGGCCCGGTGAGGGGTGAGGTGAGCCAGGGCCCTGAGGATGGAAGGGTGGAGGAGCACCGAGAGGCATCGGGCAGCCCCCCTCCACCAGGAGAGAGAGAGAGAAAGAGAGAGAGAGCGCCAGCCTGTGCCTGTGCCACCTTGAAATTTGATAACATGGCCAGCCAAGAAGGAGAAGGGGGGGATGTGGCGAGAAGGTGCCCAGCAGGACAGCCGTGGGAGTTCTGGACAGGCAGAGCCTGAGATTTTTAACCCTTTCCTTGCATGATGGAAACCTTACAAATGCTGATCCTCCTGGAGCTGAATGAGAAGAGAGATAGAGATAAGAGGAAATGGGCCACGAGAGAAGTGGAGGAGAATTCTAGGTGGCTGGAGATGATGGAGTGGCCTTTGGCTGGACTTTTCTTGTACAGCCATGGACAGAACCATTTTTCCTGTGACACAGAGACGGCATTTAGGGGGAGGCAATGGCTTGGAGCCAAGAGAGTGCAGTGATGTTATGTGAAGGAGTGCGTGAACAGAGACAATGGGTGAGGAGGGTGGTGGTGCCCTCCGTCTCCAGGGAAGAAGAAGATCTCTGTTCTCGAGACCCCTCAGCCCCAGGGGGTGAATTTGGGGGGGACTGGTGTCCCGAAAGTGAGAGACTGTGGGTTTTTTTGGAACTGGGCAAAGCACCCTTAAGAGGAGAACCCTAGAAGCAGCTCTGGTCCATGTGCAGTGGTGAGAGCACTGGGCATGGAAGGAAGATGTCAGGATGGCAAATGATCTCCGGGCAGTGCTACGTGTGACATGGAAACACAAGAGGTCTCAACTGTGTTTCCAGGGGAAGCCTATGGCACAAGAGGGACTCCTCTCTCCTTGATGAACTGAGAATTGATTATCTAAAGGCTGATGATGGACTGAGAGTTCGTGATCTGAGGGATGGATGTATTGGAAATTTGGTGGGGGGAGGAGGAATGTTTTTGGAAGGTTTTCATCCTTTCTGTGTGTTTCTTTTTACATATAGTTGTAGGTTAATAAAGTTTTCTCTTCTTTATTCCTAAATGGGAGCCTGCTTTGCTCTATTCCTGGTCACATCTCACAGCAGACACCAGGGAGAATGTATTTTCATGGGGGCACTGGGATTGTGCCAGCCTCAAACCGTGACAAACACTAAAGGTCAATGATTACTCTTACTCTTTTTACCTTCCCTATCAACTATTCGGCCACAGGATTTAAGAATCCAATTTCCTAAATATACTTATTATTATTAAAATCTGGAACCTTGATCATATTCACTGAAGTATCTGTAAAATAGACTTTTAAAGTGGTGGCCTGACGTGGAGCAGCAACTATTCAAACAGAACAAAACATGGTAATAATAAATATATATATAAATAAATAAATAAATAAATTGCCCTACTGCTACATGAGAAAATTAGGGTCACATCTCCCCCTGTGTATTTGCAAAGAAACTCAGACCATGTGGTACCACCTTTCTTTCATTGCTTTGAGAGAAGCCTGAAGGACATGCAGTTAAGGTATTTGCATAAGGACAATACAAGGGCTATTTAGTATTTGATGGAAGGAGGAGAGGAAAAGTAATGCCTAGTTTGTATGCGTAAATCTGCCAGTTCTGAATTGTCATCATCAGTCCATTACCAAAACTATGGGTCCAAGTAGCTCTATAATTCTTACAATCAATAGAGAGGCCAGTATTCCAATGCTGTGTTTGGCAGCTAGAGCCAACACCTTGGGGATTACTCTTTACCCTTGCTCCATTGAAGCAGATGCAGTCAATGGAATGACTTGAGAAATAAATAATGCCTGGAGTATCTTTACAAAATTATATTTGCTGCAGTTTTAGCCTTGAATTTACAAATTCAAAGCAGATAATAATAGTTACAAAGACAACCAACTTCCAATATGGAGGATTGGAACCAACTTCCCACAAAAAATGTAATCCAAAACAGTGTCAGTTCTATTGTCTTCTGGATTGTTACGTTATTGGACCCTGATCCTCTGTCCTTTTTCTTTTTTTTTTTTCCCTCTTTAGTTTTTACCCTGGAATGGTTCTAACATGAGGAATTCCTTTCCGTTCAACATGAAACCCTATATGTGATTCTTTACCTTAGAAGCTGGACCAAATCATCACAAACCTACAGGAATAAGAGACAGGAGTTTCATATTTCTTGCAATTTGTGTCACATCTTCTATAAGCACTTCATTAGTAATTATAAGCTTGATCCCCATTACTGTTAAGTAGCTGTATGGTTAGCATAAAAAATATCCCCAACACTCAAAACCAAGACTAACAGTGCAATAGTTAAAAAAAATATTACTATAATAATTGGAAGAAAAAAGGCTCTGTGAAAGAGGATAAAATTAACAGAAATATTTTGTTGATAACTCTTTCAGAAAAAAAATGCATCTTGGCCAGTTTTTCTTTTATTGGTTGTGCTAGAATTCTCTGAATGTGCATTTTCATTCTAATGATATTGTCCAGCACTCGCTGATCAACAGACCTGTGCAGGTTAAATGAACAAATTGAAATTTCAGGGCTGACTTAAACTAAAAATAATGGACAAAATTAACTCCAAAGTAATAACTGTAATAATGTAATCATTTGGATACTTAGTGACAAAAAACAGAGTTTATGTCCCCCAACTCCCCCACAACAGCTTGTTGTTATATCTTGGACCTGAAGGGTTGTCTGTAATTCTGTAACAACTGCAGAATGTGATATGTGAATTTCAGGGTGATATTCTGTGGATAATTTAATGGAAATTTTGCCAGAAAAACATCCCCACTAGTAGAAATATATATACTCCTAAAGAAGGCAGAATAAAAAAGAGAATAGCTCCAAGACACCCACTGAGTATATATATTGCACTACACCTTCGTAGGAAAATATTTAAGCCCTTGTTATTTACTGTATACTGGTAACATCGAAGCATGAAAATAAAAATATTTATGCATGATACCACAAAATTCTTGGAAGGTGAGTCTGTCAGCTGACTTTTACTGTAATACTTAGCACTAGAGTATTTAGTATCTGTAACTGAGTTGTAAGTTTAGGTGAGAGATTCAGATGCCTAAAGAGGTAGCTAGTGTCATGAACAGGCTTGCATGTGTGACAAGACCAAAAGGAAGTCAAAACCTTTCTGACATGACAGCTGGAAGCCAGGTGGGAGACTACAGGGTCATGAGAGACAGAGAAAATTAATTTTACCACAGGAGCTTCTTCAAAGTGAGCCAACTTTACATCCATCACATCTCCATCCTCCTCCAGCTGAATTTCTACATAAAACATCATTGATGTTATGTAGCAGGTGGTCCCACTGGGGCTAACATGAACAGTAAGTCTGAGAAGGATGAGAAAAGGGAAAAAAAAGCTTGTATATATAAAAATTCTGTCACTTAAAAACGGAAATTAGTATAGTTCACTTGGTCATGGGAAGAGACACCAGGAGTGCTTCAAAAATAATTCTTCCTTGGCTCAGCTTCTGGAAACTATCCAACCAGGCATGTATTTGTGCTCTGCTCTTTGCATTATCATGTTGGTCAGCTCAAAACTACTAACCTCGGTCTGTAGCTTTGGGATGTAGGCATTTATACACTCTCTTTACCCAAAAACCTTCTCCACAAAGGGCTAATCAAAATAGGCAAATACACTCCTTTAGAACACTGAGCTAAAAAATAACATTGTTGACAAGCCATCCAGATGGTATTCCTCTCTGGACTTGAGGCCATGCCTGCTCATTTGCATTTATTCATAAACAAACTTACCCTTTTTGTCTGGATAAACGTTCCAACACATTCATCACAGAAAACATGGATTGAGCTGCAAAAACCAGAAAGGCAATTTAATCAAACTGCAATGATCAAGAAGTAGAACCAGTATTTTCTTGTTTTAAAGAACATGATTTAGGTAATAGGAAAACAGTACCTCTTGAATGACTTGTTATTAATGACAACTATTATGACTAGTAAGTGCTGTGCTGTGTAGCAAATATTCTCAGGCTTTAAGATTACTATAGCCTGAAGGCTTAGCCCAAAGATGAGTTGCAAGTCTCTTGTCTCTTATCCACCTCTGTGTTTGTACATTTGACCTCTTTGTGAAGAACATCAGTAGAGAAGGATTGGTAGATTCCATACAATATTTTAAAAAATGTACTTTGAGTTATCCAACAGCTGATTACCATTTAGTGTCCTCTCTATCTTCTCCATGCATGAAAGCAACAGACCATCTGGAGCATTACTGACAGGCTTTCGCAGTGCGTTATCCTAGCACATTTGTGAAAACAAGAGACAAAGAAAGATTCCTTAAATTACTAGCTAAGAGACAGAGCACACAGATGCCCCATACAACAAACCTCTGGTTATTTGTTTTTGTCAAACACAGAGGTTACCTACGATTGAAGCTATCTCTGAAATGGCTGCACTGAATGGATTTGTCAAGATATTATTGTGCAGTAATTACATACCAGATGCCTTTGGAACAAGGAGTGGCTTTCCATTCCCCTGTCTTTTGAGCTGATCACTAGATGTGTCAGCTAATTTCATTATGAAGCTAGAGATAAACTAAGAAAATACTTGCGTTTTTATTTTAGAAAAAATCTGCCTGAGTGAATAGAAGAGATCAGTAAGTGCCACAGGAGTACTTGGTTAGATTAGAATACAAGTTTCAGCTTGTGGAGCCATTCACTTCAGTGGCAAGCAAACTCTCCCAGGTTCTCTTCAAGCTCTTGCCTGAAAACTTCTCAAATTCCACATTTCAATTAACAAAGAACACTCACTGCTGAAGAGTTTTCACTTTGTTCAAATTCAGGACATTGTTTTCAGAGTAAAGCTTGAGTTAAGCATTAATAAAAAGAAGTGTGGAAACAAATGGGAATTTTTATACTGAGCTCACAGCAGTTGTGCTAATCTGCTCTTTACGACAATCATTCTTAAATCAGCTACTGGAAGGGCAGGAAGTGTGGAATGGTATATTACAGCAGCAGAAAGTCTAGATAGCAGATATCAGACCAGCTTCTAAAATACAATATTTCCTCCTAGTCCTATAGGCAATAAATTCTCTTTACATACTATGAATATGGTAATGATAGTGAATGTAACCTCAACTGGTAGACAATCAGTACTAACTCCTGAATAGTTAAAACAATGTTAAAACAATGTTAAAACAAGTTAAAACAATGCTAGAAACAACCCCTAAAGTGTTAAAATCAGACAGGAAACTTTATAACCCATTGTCCTAAGAAAAATGGGGAGCCAGGCTATACTAGGCACCAGGTTTTTCTGGGGATTATCTTTTGGTTGGTTTTGGATTGCATGAGGTTTTTTGGTTGGTTGGTTGATTTGCTTGTTTTTGAAAGTCAAGCAATTTTTAACTACCTTGGAAACATACTCTTATACCACATATCCTTCTCTCACCTAACCTGTGATTCTTACCATGCAAAAATAAACAAGTCTCAGAGTTTCAGTCCATGGCCTTTGTTGGTATTTTAAACGCAACTGTTCCATTAAAGCATTTGTAGAAATAGCTCTCACAACACCTGAAAAACATGTCAAAATGTTCTAAATATAATGGCAACCAGAAATGCTGGAGGAGGACAAATGTAAAACCTTGCTAAGGTCATAGATGTTATGCTTCAAAGAAGGAATAAAAAAATGTTTTACTTGAATTTTGCACATACAACCATCTAATTTGTGTAGGACTTTGACAGAAAAAGAGCAGGAGGAGATTTGTATAGGCAAGTATTCTCAATATTAAATACAGATATGCAGCCAAATCTTCAGTTTGTTAAACCATTAGGCTTTCTTTACCTATGCAAAATTTCTTATGTATATTCTTTATAAATACCAAGGCTTTGCCACAGACTTGAGATTTCCAGATATACCCACCTAGAGCTCATTAAAGCTCACTTTAATTAGAGATAAAAAATTAGAGATAATTTTTTATGATGAGGGTGTTAAGACATTGGAACAAGTTGCTCAAAGAAGTGGTGCATGCCCCCTCCCTGCAAACATTCAGGGTCAGGTTGGACAGGGCTTTGAACAACCTGATCTAGTTGAAGATGTCCCTGCTTATTGCAGGAGGGTTGGAGTAGATGGTCTTTAAGGGTCCCTTCCAACATAAATTATCCTGCACTTTTGCAGAGGATAATCTCAATGAAGTGGTGAAACTTTTTTGTTTGTTTGTTTGTTTTTGGGGATGGCAAGGAATGAGAATGGGGCTGGGAGAAGGAACATATTCAGTCCATCATCTATCTCCCTATAAATATTCTTTCTGGCCTAACACAGAATCCAGATGTACAAAGAAAGTTTTTTGCTGAGATGTGATACTTCCATAACCTTTACCTCTATCAGGAGAGAAACAGGAGTGAATTTCCTAATACATCAGTCTGAGACAGGCAGGAAGACTCCAAAGTTTTATTAATAAGAAGAAATTGAGTCCTGCAAGATGCCACCCAGAAGAAATATTACCAAGGGCTTCTTTGACTTAGTGGACACAACAGCTGCAGAGATCTGGCCCCTTTGAGCAAGAGGCACTACATGGGGAAAGACAGATGGACTAGGAGAGGGATGGCCTTTTGCATACACCAAGGAGGGATAGTGAGAAGGGACTGGCAGCTTCTTCCTCCTTCAGGGAGGATGACAGAGCAGCAACCACAGTTCCTTATAAATCAGGCCACCTCAGCCAGCTGGAGGAAGAGGGAGCAGTGGACCCCAACCAGCTCTTGCAAGCACACTTGCTGGGAACATGCCCCCACTCACCCAAGCCTTCATGCTGAAAGAAGGGTTGCAACCCACCCTGTATCTCCATTCACAGTGCAAGAACCAAGGCTCCTATTTGTAGCAGCTGCAACACAGCACCCATAGCTGCTGTGCAAGGCAAAAGTCTTGCTCCTTCAAAAAACTGGTCCCCAGGGATTTGTGTTTGAATTTGGGGCTTGATAAGCACAGCAACATCACCTCTGCTACTTTTTACAAGAGGTACCCTGTTAGCCATGTTTTTCCACATCTAAAGCATAATGTCTATCCCCATCTTTTCAGAAGGTGTAGTATTCTCAGAGACTGAATTTAACAGGGGGACAAAAGCAGGGGGAGGTATGATAGTAAAAATCACTCAGCAAAACAGGAAAGCACACCAAAAGGGGGAGTTTGTCTTGCTTTTTAGTGGAGGGAGTGAAAAAACCAGTATCAATAATGTTTTCATTGTATTTCTACAAAAATGTGTATATTTTGTGGCCATCTCAGGTTGCAGTCTGCTTGTACATAGGAATCAGTGCACAATGGTGGAGTGAGGTTCAAGGGTTAACCCTGGACCTTTGAACAGGCACTAGCTCGAAATGTGGTTACTTGGGAATGTCCAGGTCTACAGCAAGGAGAGCATGTCTCCTACATAACCCCTGGGTGGCACTGTTTCAGGATACCTTACAGCAAACCTGCTTCCAGCTATGATCCCTCATGATGCAGTACTGGAAATAGTCTCATACCACATAAAATAGAGTATTTTTGACTTGAATGTAGGAACCTGAGTAGAAACTACATAGTTCATTGGCCTCAATAAGATTACAAAAAAAAAAAACTAAGCATGGGCCTAGGAATTCTAGGAGAAGTATATGTCAAAAAGTGGTATTTGTCTCCAGACAGGTGTCAAGCATATTAATTAGAGAAAGTCAATGCAGCTGAGTGAGTTAAATATATTTGCACTTCAGCTTTTACAAAGGAGGTGAAATGTGATTAAGTAAATTGATAATGTAATTCCACACTTGTGGTAAATCACACTTCTGTAAAATTATTCATTTGGTGTATGGTCTTAAATACTAATTTACTTTTTAACCTGACATTAGCAGTCAGCACAGGTATAATCATAGCTATAATAATGAGCTTTACCTGTTAATTGGTGCATGAATTTAAAAACATGTTTTCAGCATTTCGAGGGAGTCATTTTAGCTTAGGTTTGTTTGAACAACCTATTGAAATGTTTTCTGCTGAGCAAGAACAGGTAGGTTGCCTCAGTCCAGATCACAGGAATGGGTATGTGCAAATATGACATACCACAGCTTGGTACTGCTTAATACTTTTGTGGCATTTTTCATAAATGTTTGTCCAGAGCTCTTTGGAGTCTCTGTGACCTTGATACTAACTTCAGTGGTTTGATCATGTCCTGAATAAGCAGAAAAGTAAATTATTTGCTGATTATCTTGAAGAGAACACTTCCAAAATAACAGAACGAAACATGCCACAGCTTACGTGATCTGCATAATAGCTGCTCTGCAAATAAACAGAGGACTTCAAGTTTAGTTAGTCACAGTACAGTATGGCTGATAAGCCTAAAATACACTTTAACTTTTAAACAAAAAAAGCCATTTCCATTGTGCTCAAATGTATGTATTTAGGTAAATGAATTTGTACCATTTTTCCAGGATAGAAACAGATTCATAACAAGACAAATATTCCAAGATAATTATTAGTCCTCACATAAAATTGCAGGACTGGAAAAAATCACATATGAGAAACAGAAGCTTAAGTATTGTCAGAAAGTTCCTCACAACAACGTGCTGTTCCAGTACTCAGAACTGTCGTATTGAATTACTGCACTCGAGACAAGAGTTAAGAGTGATGAATAATTAAAAATGGTCTAATTATAGCTTCTCAGGCATATTAAATACACAAACATTTAACTGGGTCAGTTCGTGAAAAAAAAAAAAAAAAACCAACAACTGGACATGCATTATCATGAGTATAGAAAATAATCAGAATTACTGCATGAATCCTACATGCCCACCTGCTCTGGATTACTCTCTCTGACTGTTCATCAAAAACTGCTGCTGG